TGCAGATGGTGACATGAGGGACTGATTACTGTCAAACTTTTTTTTGTTTTAACACTCAACTATTTACTAAATGTAAGATTCAGCTTCATTCCGGCATTATTTATACGTACAATATTTAGCTGAAAATATAATTTTATATCTGTGCAGGATTTTATTAGTTTACTTTTTGTCAAGAAATGTTTAGATTTCACCTTTTATTATTACTTTTTATCTGGTTTATCATTTATTATAATGCTGGTAGAAATTTCCATACAGTTGTGATGTGTGAGTGTTATTTTATGTTACCTAATATTTATTTTGATTCTTGCCGTTCTCTGAGCCAGAGCATAGACCTACCTGTGTTAAAGTTCAGAGTTTAAACTGTTGAAATATGTTGAAATAGTTTGACCAAGTCCTTTTGAAGTTCCTATTAAGCTGCATTTTACAGACTTTGATAAACATAAATACTAAATACAAACCAGACACTGAAAGCTGAGGTTGTTCTGAAAAAAGCAGCAGAGTTACAAACATTTTGCACTTTTTGGTACTATTTCACAGCCAGAAAAAAAAACAAAGTTCTATTTATGGTCATATGGTTAAACATGTGATAAATGTTCTGCTGCCCACGAAGAGATGGTACAAGTGAACGTGAGCATAACTTCATGTTTTATTACTTTATTATGTTTTTTTATTGTTGACTATTATGTTATTATTATAACACTAGAAACAAATAATGAGGTAAATATTCTGGATCAACACCATGAAGCAAAGTTCTGGCCATAGTATGTGCAGTATTATGGAAATGGTATGAAATGACTCTGTGTGTGTGTGTGTGTGTGTGTGTGTGTGTGTGTTTGTGTGTGTGTGTGTGTGTGTGTGTGTGTGTGTGTGTGTGTGTGTGTGTGTGTGTGTGTGTGTGTGTGTGTGTGTGTGTGTGTGTGTGTGTGTGTGTGTGTGTTTACAGCTAGTTTCTCCAACAGAGGGACTCTGGGGATGGGGTACTGTCAGTCACTCCCATGGTGCTGCTCTCTCGGCCCGTCAGGTGCACTTTTCTTCTAACAGGAAGTTTGGGTGGAGTAAGCCTCTGGTTGTGGGTGACTTTCTCTTGATGTTACTTTCTTGTTTATGTGGAAATTCACAAACAAAAGCTGTTATTGCCCAGAGGTCTCCAAAGCACTTTACACTACAGTGTATCATTCATCCATTCACACACACATTCACACACTGGTGATGATGAGCTGCAGCTGCACTGACGAAGGTGAGGCTTATGAGCACAGGCACCACAGGTCTCGACCACCACCAGCAGGCAGTGTGGGTTGAGTGTCGGCTGGGAGCTGAGATCAAACCTGCAGCCTTCCTGATTACTAGATAACCCGCTCTACCTCCTGAGCTGCTGCTAATATGAAATATTAAATGTCAGATCACTGTGTGTTTGCTGCCACACCCTGATGCACAGCTGAGATCACTTCTCTTAAGTGAACTTCATAAAAGCTTCAAACATCTACTACCATGTGCTTTCCCCCTCTTCATCTGCGATGGAGTTGAATCGATCACTTGGCCCATAGATACATTTCACAGTTCTTTCTGTCATTCCCAGATATTTTAACAGGGTAACAGAAGCTAAACACGCTGCACATATGAGTCCTTGTCACCCCACCTGTCCTGTATTGGCTAATCCCTCCACACGCATGGAAAAGTTCAGGTTTCTGACGTATCTTGCCACATCCTTGTTTTCTTTCTCGTCCCTTTTCTCTTGCTTTGCTTTAAAAGCTTTTATTTTGTTAATGAGATCTTTTAGGTTAACACTCTCCCTTCCCGCCCTATGTTTGGACCATTGCTTTTTCAAACACAATAATTACCTGTCATAACATGCTTTCATGGTATTTTTACAACATAGTGTATTTCTTAAAAAGTCAAAAACATTTAATGAGTGTTAAATTGCGTAATGAAGAAGTTATAGAGCCATCGTCTTGAACACTGTTGCTAACCACTTAAACATTCTCCCTCTCCTGACATAACATTTTACTTTCTTTGACCTTGAATGTGCTACTACTAGTTCACCCATTTAATTATAGATTCACTAGGATAAGTACAATAAAGTTTATCTCTCACCAAATAGAATATTTACTAAGAAATCACAATGTAACCATAGAAACACTACTTGGTATATATGTTTGTGTGTGTGTGTGTGTGTGTGTGTGTGTGTGTGTGTGTGTGTGTGTGTGTGTGTGTGTGTGTGTGTGTGTGTGTGTGTGTGTGTGTGTGTGTGTGTGTGTGTGTGTGTGTGTGTGTGTAAAGGGGAGTTTTCCTCTCCACTGTCGCTACATGCTTGCTTACTATGAGGATTGCTGTAAAGTCACTGACACTAATCAGTGACTTGATGCAATTTGCTGGGTTCCTTATATAGGAAACTTTTTTCTGATTGGCTTAATGAACTGACCTGTACTGGAATGTTTACTGTGTGAAGTGCCTTGAGATGACTCTTGTCGTGATTTGGCGCTATATAAATAAACTTGAATTGAATTGAGTAAATTATGTGCTTAACAATGTATTTATTGAAAATTACACAAATAAAGTACAAATGCAAAACATTTCTCAATTACAAAGTCAGAGATGGGAACAAGTAAAACTTTTTTAAAGTAGAAAATGATGCAAATTTATATGATATACAACATCAAAATTAAATGATCATCCTGATCTGTAAGCTTTTCTTGCTTAGCTGGATGCTTATTTTGCTGTATGATGAATCCGATTACAAACGTCTGACTCATTGTGTTATTTTTGGCTGATCATATGTTATTATGAAGATAGGTACACATCTTTTCAAAAAATGATGTAATTTTGTAATATTTGGCAACGGAAAAACAGTGTAGCTCCAGCTAAAGCTGAACCTCCAAGAGAGAACTTGAGCTTTCGAGGCAAGTCTGTGTTAAAGTGAACATGTGATTCTTGTGCATCATGTGTCATGTGGAGAGAAGCAAGTATAGAAATCCTGTCAGTAAAATGGAGAAGCATGGATGAACAATATTCCTGTTCTGTAGACCACATTGTTTTTATAGGTTAGAACACTGCACACGAGATCATGAACATCACACGCCCAAACAATTACGCATGTTTAGTTATACCTCTGCCACTGTGTTTTAAAGGGAGGCTAGGCAGTTTTGGCTTTCTTTTAGCACCCTCTAGTGTACGTTTTGTTGAAGTACCTTGAGACGACGCTTGTCATGATTTTGCGCTATATAAATAAACTTGAATTGACGTTTAGTACAGGGATGTCCAAACTTTTCAAGGCGAGGGTCAAAATTTTCTTCATAAAAAAATGCAAACATTATTTTATGGTATTTTTTTATTGGCACTCTTCAAAATAAATCCAAAATTGGCTAATAAATAAAAATCTGAATATAAACATGTTAGAAAGTATCGATTTATATCAACATTCTATGTGGAGAGACAAAATTCATCATTCTAAAAATTCAAGTGGGGGCTGTACAAAATCACTCAGAGGGATGGAAATGGCCCCTGGGCCGCACTTTGGACATGCCTGGTTCACTAGAACCAAAAGCAAAACTTATCTCCTCACTGTACGTTTGTCGTTTTTACCACTTAAATCTGAAAGCTGAAATGTCTCCCCAGTCTTCATTTGTGTCTAAGATGGAGCTGGACAACTCGTACTACCACCTGAGCTACTGTTGCCCAACTTTAGCACATACTGGCTCAAGAAAATGATTGAAAAATATGAAAAAGTTGCCTAGTGTCCTTTTAATTTAAGATTAAATTACTTTGAGATTCTGGCAAAAAAAAAGGGCAGACAAGATGGGATTTTTAAAATTAAAGCTACAATTACAAATATGCTAATCAAGCTATTTCTTGGCCTCTTAAACATATTCTAACATAGTATAGACCGATTCGGTGAAATAACCGGAAGTCGAGCCGCTGCCATCACCGCGGTGACAGTTCCCAGTCAAGCAGCCACAGGTGTGTGTGAAATGGGCTTTTAAAAACAAGTAGCAAGAAGTTTAAAGTTGATTCTTTATTGAAAATGTCTTGGAAAGCTAGGACAACGTGGCTGTGCTAAATACAGCAGACAACTCTAGGTTGGGACGAAAACCTTATGCTAGAGACTGATTTATTTATTTGTTTATTTATGTTTATTTATTTGGCAGACGCTTTTATCCAAAGCAACATTCAATCGTTAACCTATGCATGCTGTGATCTGTGGGGGAAACCGGAGAACCCGGAGGAGACCTAAAAAACGGCGCCTGGTGTTTACTCTGACAATGTGTGTTACCAAATTGGGTGATGGTGGCAGAGGAGTTTTTGGGCCCGCTCTGTAATGTGTTTCCTGGCTCGAGCCCCATCTATCACAGTCGTTGTGTCCTTGAGCAAGACACTTTACCCATCTTGCCTGCTGGCGGTGAGCGGAAGGACCGACGACACCAGTGTTTGGCAGCCTTGCTTCTGTGAGTGCACCCCAGGGCAGCTGTGGCTACAATGTAGCTCAGAATGTGAATGTGTGTGTGAGTGGGTGAAATCCTGTTGTTTTGTAAAGCACCTTTGGGGGTTCCAGGACTCTAGAAAGTGCTATATCGTTTACCATTTACCACATCGGCGGACGTGGCCTAGGGATGACAACCGACAGGAGGGGTGAGAGTTCTGTGACTGTGTTTGTGTTTAAAAGCTAGTTTTGTAGATCTGCTATCGCAGCTTTGAATATTGACAACATTTTAAACTTTAAATCATGTTAATATGTTATCTTTGATTATAAAAGAACTACAGGAAACAAGAATCTGCAGAGAAACTGCTGAGCCAAAAGCTAATTAACATGTAAATTACAGAGTCATTAAATGTGAAGGGGGAAGGGGGTGGGGGGTCGTCGTGTTTCGTAAGGTCAGCATTCCTTCAAGTGTCCGACCGGTCCACTGACCACACCAGCATGAAAACTAAAGAAAAATGTTGTGTTGCTGAATGCCGCTTTAACCTCTTTACGCAAGAGTTCTGGTTCAGCTGCATTGCTCTTTATTTTCTTTTGAAGGGTCTGAAGTAAAACCAGCGCATCGACTCGCCTCACATCTCCAAAAATACCCCACCACGCTCTCAGCTGAGACAGAGGCTTCCACGCTCAGGAGAAAAGGCATCAGGTATGATTCAGTTTGCTCCTTTTTCTTTTTTATATAAACTACAAATAGCTCCTGCGACTTAGAAACACAGAACTTTTGCATAAACGGCGTCGACAGCAGCTTCACAACGTTGACCTGAATCTACAGGGTAAAGTGCAGCTGTTTGATAATATGAGTACATTTCTTCTTATTTCACTTAGAAAACAATAGAATTATATTAAGCATTGCAGGTATATTTCATTTTTAAGAATAATTGATCATACTTAAAGTAAACTGAGCATTGCTTTCATCATTTACAGACTTGTTTAAACACTGGTAATTACATTTTATTGAAAGTGTGAGGACTTTTCTGAGGTTGTTTTTCTACTTTTCTCTTTGTTTTCACCAACTTTTAGAGGAAAATGGCCACAGACTGGAGCTCAGGACTCCTAAGCTGTTGTGACGACTGCAAATCTTGTAAGAAACAACAGTAATCTTGTTTGCGTTTCAATTTACCCAAATAAATGTTTAATTACTCTTATTTTTCCAAGGTTGCTATGGATTCTGGTGTTGCCCTTGCCTGGCCTGCACCGTCTCAGAGATGTTTGGCGAAAACCCCTGTCTTCCTCTGTGTGACATATTAACCCCTGCAGCAGTGTCAGCTTTCGGGTTGCCTTTCTGTGTTCCCCCTGCAGGTTTATCGCTAAGAGTTGCCATTCGACAAAGATACGGCATCAAGGTAAAGCACGTGCACATTAGGTCAGAAAGTTTTTCAAGAAGTCAAATATTTACTAGAAGCAAATTTATAAAAATGATATATTTCTTCATCTTTGCTCCACAGGGAAGTCTCTGTAAGGATATCTGCACCTCCTGCTTCTGCGTGTGGTGCTCCTGGTGCCAGTTGCATCGAGAATTGAAGTATCAGAAACACCCAGGTGTGGTCACCATGCAGCCTAGATAAAAGCTGTGGTTTTACACCCAACTTCATCCTTCTGCTCTGTTCCATCTCTTAAAATGAATTAATTCAAGTCAGATTAATAACTTTTAGTAAAAAATTACACGTTGGGTTTGATTTTATTATTATTTTCAACAAGACAAGTGTTAATGATTTGTTTATCATGATCAATGCAGTGAATATTTTATTTATTCTTCTGGACTGTCAGCATCAGAACATGTCTGGTTCACATTTCATCTGTAAAGTCCTTCAAACCGAATCACGAGGTTTCCATCCTGTCAGCATTAAGTGCAATATAACGAAGGATGTGTTTTAAAATCTGAACTGTGAAAGCTCTATGACATAAAAACTAGAAGGCATTTTGTTTTTGCGTTTAAAAGCTCTAATCATCATAATCGTGACTTTATTATGTGATTTTGTGAATATTTAGAAACTGGTGAACATTCGGTGATTTTTAACATTTAGTCAAAAATGGAATAAAATATGATTCTGGATCAATTTAAGTGTTTTCTGTAAATTTCTTGAACTTTTGTTCAATTTTTGCATTACATTTCAGGCTTATTGTCTGAAATGAAGACTTTTCAAGTTAATCCACAAAATAAAGGCATTTGAATAATTGAGCATTTAATGCATTCATCCAAAACAGATTTTTTTTATCCCTCCCACTGTCTTCATGGGTGACCCAACAAAGAAAGTTGACCATTGAGCAGGATTGATGTTTTATCCCTTGTGTCCATGTGGCAGGGGTGAGGAGTGAGCACCACCTCACCCCTGCCACGTGGACCTCAATGGATAAACCATCAATCCTGCTCAATGGTCAACTTTCTTTTAGGGGTCACCCATGAAGACAGTGGGAGGGCTAAATGAAATATATTTTATGAAACAGTAGTTTTTTTCTGAGTTTATGAATAAATTGTTAATTTTGTCTCATCAAACAGATCACAGGAATCTGGAGAAAATTTAGCTTTTTAACGGTTTCCTACCCCATCTATCAAAGATGTTTTTACAAAAACAAATGGATGATTTTTGTTTGTTTGAACTTAAGTTTGTTTTGTGTGTGCGTGTAAAAAGTCAGGAATGAGAAGGGTTTAGTTATCACATTGTCATGGTCTGCGTCTGCGTCTCCCTCATGTGTCTCCTTGTGTGCTCCATCCCCCTCTTTGTGTTCCTCATGTGTCCCCTGGTCTGCAGCCCTCCAGATTATCCCTCCCAGGTCCTGTTTTCCTTTGGTCTCCCCCAGTCACCCCTCTACAGTTTTTATATAGGTTCAGCTTTTCATTTTTATTAGTCTCTTTAATGTGTTTCCCACCGGCTTTTGTTTTCCTTCCCCCTTAGAATATTAGTTATTTTTGCTTGCTCTTCTTGTCTTTAGGTTTTTACTCTTAGCTCATGTTAGTTTCCTCCCTGATTAGTTAATTACTTTCACTTGGTTTCTCTCCCCACACACCTGCAGCCTACCTGCCTCTCATCATGCCCCAGTGTATATAACCCTGTCTGCGTCTCTGTTTGTTGTTGGGTCATTGTTTGTGTCACCCTTGTCTCGGTCTGCTCTCAAGATTTTGATCTTCGTTTTTGGATATTCTAGGTTTTGTTATTTGGGACTTTTGTTTTTGGCTCCCTGCCTTTTTGGATTTATTTTTAATAAAGGATTTTACGTTATTGCTCCACTCAGTGCCGTCTGGTTCTCTGCATCTTTGGGTCCTAACCTCCTCTTGGCTCCCCATCGTGACACACATACCCTTATAAAAATGTGAAATATTCCAGCAGTTTGATAGATGTAATATCACTTAGGTTTTCCTTATTAGCACATTAAACCTTGATTTAAAAGCCTAGAAGTGAGATCCTGTCATTTTAGTTTATTCATTAGTTTATCTGGAGTCCTGTTCAGTGTTTCAAATAAAACCCTTTCTTGCTTGATGTCTAATACACTCAAAAAAAATATAAACGCAACACCTTTGTTTCTGCTCCGATTTTTCATGAGATGGACTTAAAGGTGTACAATTCATTCCAGATACACAATATTACCATTTCTCTCAAACATTGTTCACAAATCAGTCTAAATCTGCTTTGCTGAGATAATCCATCCCACCTCACAAGTGTGCCACATCGAGATGCTGATCTGACATCATGTGTACCTTATACTGCCGACAATAAAAGGCCACCCTGGAATGCGCAGTTTTGTCTAACAGCAAAATGCCACAAGCATTGAGGGAGCGTGCAATTGGCATGCTGACAGCAGGAATGTCAACCAGATCTGTTGCTTGTGCATTGAATGTTCACTTCTCCACCATAAGTTGTCTCCAAAGGTGTTTCAGAGTATATGGCAGTACATCCAACCGGCCTTCCAACCGCAGACGATGTGTAACCACACCAGCCCAGGGTCTCCACATCCAGCAGGTTCACCTCCAAGATCATCTGAGACCAGCGACTCAGACAGCTGCTGAAACAATTGGTTTGCATAACCAAACAATTTCTGCACAAACTGTCAGAAACCGTCTCAGGGAAGCTCAGCTGCATGCTCGTCGTCCTCATCGGGGTCTTGACCTGACTCCAGCTCGTCGCCCTAACAGACTTGAGTGGGCAAATGCTCACATTTGATGGCGTCTGGCACGTTGGAGAGATGTTCTCTTCATGGATGAATCTCGGTTTACATTGTTCAGGGCAGATGGCAGACAGTGTGTGTGGCATCGTGTGGGTGAGCGCTTTGCTGATGTCAATGTTGTGGATCGAGTGGCCCATGGTGGTGGTGGGGTTATGGTATGGGCAGGCATCTGTTATGGACGAAGAGCACAGGTGCATTTTATTGATGGCATTTTGAATGCACAGAGATACCGTGATGAGATCCTGAGGCCCATTGTTGTGCCGTACATCCAAGAACATCACCTCATGCTTCAGCAAGATAATGCACTGCCCCATGTTGCAAGGATCCATACACAACTCTTGGAAGCTGAAAATGTCCCAGTTCTTGCATGGCCAGCATACTCACCGGACATGTCACCCGTTGAGCATGTTTGGGATGTGCTTGACCGGCGTATATGACAGCGTGTAACAGTTCCCACTAATATCCAACAACTTAGTACAGCCGTTGAAGAGGAGTGGACCAACATTCCACAGACCACAATTGACAATCTGATAAACACAATGCAAAGAAGATGTGTTGCACTGCATGAGGCAAATGGTGGTCATACCAGATACTGACCAGTTATGAGTCCCCAGACCCCCAATAAAGCAAAAAAACTGCACATTCCAGGGTGGCCTTTTATTGTGGGCAGTATAAGGTACACCTGTGCAGTACTCATGATGTCAGATCAGCATCTTTATGTGGCACACCTGTGAGGTGGGATGGATTATCTCAGCAAAGCACAGGTGCTCACTATCACACATTTATGGGCCATTCCCATCTGTACCGGGTCGGCCCGGGCCGGGTAGCCCCAGTCGGACCCAGCCTGGCCCGGTTGATTCCACACATCCTTGCCTTAAGCCCATGTGGGCTGATTCTACCCACCAATCAGAGGCTTGCTCTAATGGAAGGTGTGAATTTGCTGTCGGCAGTGGGTGTGTTGGCCCTGGTCGGCCTGAAGCAGACCCCCTCGAGAAGAGGGCTGAGAATGAGCCTTGGTTGGCCCGGAAAAACACCAGGCCACCCAGATATGTAAACAACCTACGCTACCCGGCCCGGGCCGACCCGATACAGATGGGAATGGCCCATTAGACTGATTTGTGAACAATGTTTGAGAGAAATGGTAATGTTGTATATCTGGAATGAATTTTAGATCTCATGAAAAATCGGAGCAGAAACAAAGGTGTTGCATTTATATTTTTGTTGAGTGTATTTTAGATCAAAAGTTAGAATTACAAATTGGTTGTTGGTTATATTACAAGGAGGTAATTTACCTGCTTTGGATGCCTGGGAAATAAATAAAGAAAAGTTGTTTCCAATATTTTATTTACATTAGAACTTCAACTCTTTCAACAGGAAATATTAGCTTTTCAAATATTTATATATGTAATGTCTAATCACAAAAAGCCAGTGTGAAAAGTAGGAGCTTACACTGATCTCAGAATGATGAGACCTGCTGAGAGACTCTGCCTCTTCTGAAACTCCCTCCTCAACCGCAGGATCAAGTTCTTCTTCATCTGTGAACTTTCTCGTGGTCATCTTTAGTCATACCTGCTGGTCAGAAAGGTAGCATGAGTAACAAAGGAAACATTTTGTCTTACTTCTCTTATTTTCTTTGAAAAACAAAGAATGGGGAGTGGAGAGGTGAAAGATAAGGGAGTTTCTCAGAAATGCCTGCTTCTTCTGTTTGTCAAACCAAGCTTCAGTAACACATCTGTAAACATTTATAACTGATGAAGTCACACAGTGGAGCTAAAATGTTTGCTGAATATTTGTTTTTAAAAATCCAAGGAATTCATAAAAATCAAACTGGCATCTTGGACTTCATTTCCTTACTAAGGCACGACTAAAAAACAACAAAAATAAAAAGGTAAAATTTCTTGTTATTAAAATAAATAATTGTTTTTAGATGTGTAGCGATGTGTGTGTGTGTGTGTGTGTGTGTGTGTGTGTGTGTGTGTGTGTGTGTGTGTGTGTGTGTGTGTGTGTGTGTGTGTGTGCGTGTGCGTGCATATGTCTGTTAATGTTTTTAAACTGCTATGGGAATTCAATTCAATTCGATTCAATTCAATTCAAGTTTATTTATATTGCGCCAAATCACGACAAGAGTCGTCTCAAGGCACTTCACATAATAAACATTCCAATCCAGGTCAGTTCATTAAAGCAATCAGAAAATAATGTTTCCTATATAAGGAACTCAGCAAATTGCATCAAGTCACTGACTAGTGTCAGTGACTTTACAGCAATCCTCATACTAAGCAAGCATTTAGCGACAGTGGAGAGGAAAACTCTCTTTTAACAGGAAGAAACCTCCAGAGCATCCTGGTTCAATATAAGCAGCCATCCACTATGACTCACTGGGGATCGAGAAGACAGAGCGCACACACACACACACACACACACACACAGACACACACACACACACACACACACACACACGCCAAGCAATGTGTCTATGGTCACATTGTGATTTATTAGTAAATATTCTATTTGGTGAGAGATAAACTTTATTGAATTTATCCTAGTGAATCTGTAATTAAACGGATAAACTAGTAGTAGCACATCCAATGTCAAGGAAAGCAAAAAGTTATAATCAGGAGAGGGAGAATGTTTAAGTGGTTAGCAGCAGCATGTTAGACGATGGCCCCCTCCATGAGGCCACCACAGCTCAGCAGAACATCATTATAGCTTCTTCTGGGGAGAAAAACACTTAGAGAAAAAATAAAGTTAACAGCTGAAATTGCAGAAAATAATACAGTTAAAGAGCAGATTGTAGAAGAAAGTAGTAGAGTGTGAAAAGTGGTCAGTATGTCCTCCAGCAGTCTAAGCCTATAGCAGCATAACTACAGAGATAACTCAGGATAAGCTATCCTATTTAGAAGGAGGCATGTTGGAGGCAGGGCAAGGGAGAGCCGTCTTTACCAACTGTACACTCCACCTCCCTCTACTCCCCCACTTGTCCAGATCTGGGCTAACATCAGATTTTAACCATAGGCCCTATCAAATAAAAATGTTTTAAGCCTAGTCTTAAAAGTAGACAAGGTGTCTGCCTCACGGACTAAAGCTGGGAGCTGGTTCCACAGGAGAGGAGCCTGATAACTAAAAGATCTGCCTCCCATCCTAATTTTAGATATTCTGGGAACCACCAGTAGACCTGCAGTCTGAGAGTGAAGCGCTCGGTTAGGAACGTATGGAACAATCAGATCACTGATGTATGATGGAGCTTGATTATTAAGAGCTTTATATGTGAGAAGAAGGATCTTAAAATCTATTCTGAATTTAACAGGTAGCCAATGTAGGGAAGCTAAGACAGGAGAGATATGATCTCTCTTTTTAATTCTCATCAGAACTCTAGCTGCAGCATTTTGGACAAGCTGAAGACTTTTAACTACGTTTTGGCTACGAATGTGGGGTCATTTTGTAAAGCACTTTGCTTGAAAAGCGCTTTATAAATAGAATGAAAAAATAATGAAAAAAAGAAACAGGAATGAAGTAAGAATGACATCCTGTGGTCAAATGTGGGTACTGCAAGCCATGTTTCTAAACAAAGAGTGACGTTATCACTCCCGTTCCATGAGTTTCATGGCTGAAGAAGTCTGGACGAGTCTAGGCGGCAACCCGAGATGAGTCATACACAGGAAGTTGGTAAGATCGAAATATTTCACTTTAATAGAACGTATTTGGTAGCTGAAAAAGTGGCCTATTTTGATTCTAATTCACTGTTAGCTTACTGTCAGCCTGTAGCATTTTTAGACTGATTTTAGAGTAAAACAAAAGGATGCTTTGGTGTTTTACAGTTACAAGAAATAACTTCTGGGCCACTCCCGTTTACTGGTTTAGGGTCTTTAAGTAACTCTGATGCTTTTTTGCTGGCCGGTGTTGAATTACAAATGCTGGCACATCAGCAGTTGCCAGTGCAGACCCGTGCAGACATGGCAACCCCGTGGGCTTGTAGATTTTAAACAACGTCCCTCTTCAGCCTTTTGGAAAGGAGAAAAACCAACAACCTCCCACCCAGCTAGGAAATCAGTTTCAGTGTAACCTTCCTTAGACATTAGAGAACCATTTGCAAAATATTGTCACCTTCTTTCAGTGATCAGATATATTTAAAGACACCTTGTTTATTTTCTGCAAGGCAAAAGATGAATATTGGGATGTAACTATCATCAAATGATAATAATCTGTTGTTGTCATCACAGATTGAATCTAAATCCAAGGAAACACCCCGGTATAATCTGTCTTTTCATCACAGACAGATTCCTCCACAGAAAACTTCAGTTGAACTTCTAAAAAAAATAAATAAATAAAAAATCTTAGTAAATAAATAGTCATTTGTGTATTTTCTCCTCTGTCTCATAATTTGAGAAATCTGACATTTTAGGTGTAGTTAAAATTAGTCCCAGTAGAGGGTGCTGTTACACAGGTCAAAGGTGAACATTTAGAGTCCCTTCTTTTAGTAACATATAATTTAAAAAAAGTCCTTGTTGTTCTTTAAATGTTTCAATAACTTTCTTCAATAGATAAATGATGTCCCAGTTTATTTAATTATTAGCTCTAATGATCATGTGAGATCATTCTCAGTGTTATTATTGCTTCTTTCTGTTCTGACATTTTCAGGGTTTAAAGCTTTACGGAGCGGAGAATGTCGGGATTCCTCCTCTAATCCAAGATGCTGCTTCCCATACAGTCACAGCTTCAGAAGCTCAGAGACGGCGTTCAGCACAACGAGTAACAATAAGAACTTGACATCTTAATCTGACATTATAACTAGAATTATGTTACAAATATGTGAAGGAAAAAGCTGTTAATCCAGACACAGGTGATCTTTTCTCGAATCTACGCAACAATTAAATATACTTTAGTTTCAACTGAACTTTCCAGCTCTCATTAGAAATGTCTTCTAGGAAACATCTAAAGATGCTTCTTTATCATTTTCTATCCCTGATAGTTTAAAGCTGTTTGCTTACACTTGGAGATGTCAGCTTTAATTGCTGAAATGTTCTTATCTTTTCAGTAGTTTAAACTTGCTTAAACATAGAAACAAGTGGTGTTTTTGAAGGTTTTCCTGACATTTGTGCTTACAGGGTAACAGTTTGGTGTCTGATGGCAGAAAAAGCCCCGACAGACTGGAGCAGTGGTCTCTGTGACTGCTTTGAGGACATCAGTACATGTAAGATGCATTTCAACAAACACTTTTCATAATAAAAGCCTTTCCCATGACTCATTATCCATATATTTGATGTGTTTTCAGGCTGCTATGGATTTTGGTGCAGCCCTTGTCTTGCATGCTCTGTTTCAGGACAATTTGGAGAGAACTTTTGTCTCCCCTTTTGTGACATCTTCAGTCCTGCAGTGGCAGTAATTTGTGACGTCCCTCTGTTTGCTCCTCCTGCAGCCTTGTCCATGAGATCTGCCATGAGAAACAAATATGGCATTAAAGTATGGCAGCATGAGACTTTAACCCACTTTAATTAGAAGTGATTAAGTGGAAGAACAGCGTTATGGTTTATTTTTCTGCAGGGCTCCCTCTGTAAAGACATCGCCGTTTCCTGTTTCTGTGTGTGGTGCTCCTGGTGTCAGATGCACCGTGAGTTAAAACATTGCAAGAAGACTCCAGTCATCATTAATCTGCACACACAAACTGTTGTCAACATGCAGCCTGCTCCTGTGATGTTAGTCCCCGGACGCCCCACTCCAGTTGGGTTTGTGAGCTAGTCAGCAGTCATCCCAGCAGTGGCGGCTGGTGAAAAATATTTTTGGTGGGGCTGTGCTATTTATTTTTTAAACAAACTTGTGCTTTCTGAGCTTTGTGCACAACTTCACTATTTCCTGAATTAAGCACAGCTCTTTTATTTCCTGTCTTACATCATTGGACAAACTGATTAATCCAGGTGTGTCTGACTATTGGCAAACTGCCTTGCGGACCAAGGTTGAAAAATACTGCATTAAATTGCACATAAAATAACATGACCATAAATGGTTAATAGGCAATGCAAGAGGCAAGTAACAAAACCATTTTGTTTAATTTCAACATTTGAGTGAACACGAAAAATTATGAGCAGGTCACTGTTACAGTAATGGTAGTAAACACTACTTAGACAAAATGCCAGAAATTTACACTGTTAGGACTTATGGAAAGTGGAAACACTTTCATGGGAAAAAATGTCATCAGTACCCTCTTACAAATGTCATATTTCCCACTTTTTGGGGCAATAAAACATTTCTGGTTTTCAATGAGATGTTTTTACTTCAAATGTAAAAATATCTCATTGAGAATCAGAAATGTTTTATTGTCCCAAAAGCTGGGAAATTTGTTTGCTGCAGCAGAAGTGTAACAAGTAAAATGGAATCAGATTGATGTATGTACAAATTTACTTGAAATACACATTTACATGATTAAATATGTATAATAGGTATGTGTGTTGAAATTAGTTTTTAGTTATTGCACATTAAACAATGTACATGTTATTAAACAAATGTCCCGGTTTGTGGGACAACCAAGGATTTCTGATTCTGATTGTCTTGTTTACAGAAATGTAATGTACAGCTTACCTCTGCACCCAGCTGCTGTTCTCCCTGTCCAAACGTACTCCGTTTCTTTGTTGGCTGCTGCATTGATGCGCTGCATTCCTCAGTCAGAGAATGAATGGAGTCCCCAATGAGACACAAGTTCCACATCCACCTTCTGTGGATCCCAGCCGTTTTGAATAACAAACACAGAAAGCAAAATAACGCATTAGCGTGATTGCATCCAGCTAGCCACTGCTTCCTGGTGTACCAATTTTGGGAGAAGCGTCGTGTGTACAGTTTACCCTTCTCCTTGTCCTGCTGGCTTATCTTTACGTCGGGCTGATCTGGTCCAAGCTCTTTGACATTAAGTTTTTCCACCATAGTTCTCCTCTCGAACGGATACTGGAGAAGAGACCGAACAGTGGCTGCTGAGATCCGGTCTCCATGCTGCTGGCATCCATGTCTACGTCTGCGTCACGACCGTCACGAGTCACGACCAAAAACGTGCTGGAGTCGAGACTCTCCGAGTTCTACCGAACACCAACGAAAGCCTTGGCGGTAGCTCTATCGCCCATCATGCTTCTGAAACAACGTCGATGTCCAAACGTCCAAAAAGATGACTGTCAGGTTGATTGGTTTATCTAAATTGTCCTTAGGTGTGTGTGTGTGTGTGTGTGTGTGTGTGTGTGTGTGTGTGTGCGTGCGTGTGTGTGTGTGTGTGTGTGTGTGTGTGTGTGTGCGTGTGTGTGTGCGTGCGTGTGTGTGTGTGTGTGTGTGTGTGTGTGTGTGTGTGTGCGTGCGTGCGTGCGTGGAGGGATTTACTTTCGGAAATTATCAAATAAAAAACAGGATTTTCTGTGATTTTTCTTTGATTAATCTTCCTGGTGTTTCGACCTGCTTCCTGTCAGACCTCAGATGGAGGGAGAATGCATTTTTACTTTCTGGTTAGAAATTTAATCCTGTTTTTCTTGCAACTTACTGAACAGAAAAATCTACTTGGACTATTTATTTTGATTAAAATACTTTAAATGACGAACAATAAACAGTTTTTTAATGTAACAGCAACAAAGCAGATTTACATTATGAGTGAGATCCAACAAGATTAAAGAATAACAGTCTGTACGGTGAATAAATAAAGTAAAACATTTAATGTAATTTACCACATTTAAAAATACTGGTTGTTAGGACGCGGATAATGCTGTACTACCCAGAATTAACTGGGGGTTGGAAAAACAAGAAAATAAGGGGGGGGGGGGGGGGGGACAACAAGTGGATTTAAGTTCAAAAGTTTTATTCCCATCAACAAAAGGGGAGAAGTTGATTCAGAAATAAACCACATATAGGAGGGGCTGGAAATGCTAACAGAAATAAGCCAACACAGCCCAAAAAAGAAAAACTGTTCATTCAGTTAAATTCAAGTTTATTTATATAGCGCCAAATCATGACAAGAGTCGTCTCAAGGCACTTCACACAGTAAACATTCCAGTACAGGTAAGTTCATTAAGCCAATCAGTAAAAAGTTATATGGAACCCAGCTAATTGCATCGAGTCACTGACTGTTAGGTAAGTAAAACCCATAGGGTAGCCAAAGACTATTTAAATTACAGGGAGAAACCCAAAGCAACCAAACAAAAGCTCTGGCAGACTGGTCTATTACTAAAAATAAACTATTCTGAAACACAACACAAACTCTGGGGTTACGAGTAAAGTTAGTGAGGCTCAACAAATCAACCCAAAATCTAAGTTCTCCATCAAAAGTGGCACAAAAGCTATAGGCAGCTGATTATCAGAGCTGGTGAAGTCCAGGTGTGCTGGCATGGAGTGATCTGAGCACCGGCAGGTCTTAGGCATGGCATCTACTTGTCATCGTCACGGCAACAGGGCAAGCAGACATGGAGGCAGCCATCTCGTCACTGGCAGGTCACATCTCAACAGCAGTGCCATGTGGAAAGGGAAAAATAAAACCAAAAAACCCCAAGGGGGTAAAACCACACACACACACACACACACACACACACACACACACACACACACACACACTCCTGACCAAAATTCTGGTCCAGTTTGCCCTAAACATCACTGGTCATGACACTGGTTTAAAAGACTGTAGCAGGATATTTACAGAGAATCAGAACACATATGAATGAATGCAAGAAGGATAACAACAGAAACCGCAAATTTTAGTTATTTATTCATTAGATGTATTTATTTATGTATTGATTCTGAAAAGGTTAGAATGCCTCCTCCAGGTCAGAGATGAGGTCCTGCCCCAAGTGGAAGAGTTTAAGTATCTTGGGGTCTTGTTAATGAGTGAGGGAAAGATGAAGTGCAAGATCGATAGGCGGATTGGTGCTGTGTCTGCAGTGATGCGGGCGTTGTACCGGTCTGTCGTGGTGAAGAGAGAACTGAGCCAGAAGGCAAAGCTCTCGATTTACTGGTCGATCTACATTCCTACCCTCACCTATGGTCATGAGCTTTGGGTAATGACCGAAAGAATGAGATTGCGGATACAAGCGGCCGAAATGAGTTTTCTCCGCAGAGTGTCTGGGCTCTCTCTTAGAGATGGGGTGAGATGCTCGGTCATCAGGGAAGGGCTCGGAGTAGATCCGCTGCTCCTCCACATCGAGAAGAGCCAGTTGAGGTGACTCGGACATCTGATTAGGATACCTCCTTGACACCTCCCTGGTGAGGTTTTCTGGGCACGTCCAACTGGGAGGAGACCTAGAGGGAAGACCAAGGACACGATGGAGGGACTATGTCTCTCACCTGGTCAGGGAACACCTCGGGAGTATCCCCGGAAGAGCTGGCCCAGTTGACTGGGGAGAGGGAAGTGTGAGCCTCTTGACTTAGGCTGTTGTCTCCACAACCCGACTCCGGATAAGCGGAAGAAAATGGATGGATGGATAACAGTAACTAAAAAGTTACAGGTCACACTGCAGCCTTTGCATTCATGTCCATCTTCATGTTTTCAGAGGGACTGATCATGAGTGGTGAGGAGCAACAACCAGGTTGGTGGAAGCTGCAGGTGAGGTCAGCAATGGAGTAAAAGCTGGTAAGTGAGGTGATGGGAAGGTTATCAAAATAAAATTCCTATTAAAGTGATCAGGAATTTATCACGTACCAAAGTGAATGCTAGCACTGTAACAACATTATCTGAGGTTTCCTGCAGATGTCAAGAATCTGTATGACCGTAATCGCTTTTATAGGATCACTGGTATTAAAATTAAAGGTAAAGGACCTAAAAACCCACCAAACACACCACTTATCTGTGCTGGTGCTGGAGTGTTGGTTGGGGTGTACTTGTTGTGGTGCAAGATAACATTTATCTTTGTTCTTGTCTGGTTTTATTTCCAACATGCCCATCATTAGACAGCATATAGATCTGTTTAGCTGTAATTAAAAATCTCAGCCTGAATCTGTTGCTTATTTTATTTTACACATCATGAGATGAAGACTGCAGCTTTCCAAAGGGCTTGCTTCTCTCTCCGGAATATCCACCACATCTGGGAGCTCCATGAAACAAGCAGCAGACACTTGGTTCCTCCATGAAGTCTGGAAGTTGTTGAGCTCACTGAAGCATGCGTTTGTTTTGTGGAGTCTCGTGAGACTAAAACAATGCCTGACTGAAAATGTTTGTGTTGGTTAAACTTCTCAAGTAATTATGATCTCTGGCTTTTAATAAATAAATATATGAAAAATATTTATTTCCCTGCAAACAGTCAATGTCGCATGGACATGCAGATCATGTCAATATTGAGTCTGTCAGTCCAGACCACGTCTGTAGGACATCCACACTAGGTCTTTGCACAGTGGGTTGATTTTGCACAACTCACTCACACTTAAATAGTAATCTAATACGTTTTTACTAGAAAAAGTTTAATTTAAATTATCAATCTAATAAATTAGTTACTATTTTCCACTAGTTGTTAGGCTGGAAGCACAATCAGCAGGATTAGAGATACATCTACAGCCTCATGTCATTAAAAACGTGTTTTAAATGAATTTATATCAGCTCATGTTCCATCTGACAGCAGGCAGACAGAACAGACAGACTGAAGATTAAATCCTGGAAACGGTAATATCTCCTGCTTTGTAGGTCTGAAGGTGCAGGAGCAGAGCTCTGAACCACTAATATCTCTAAGTCTATATTAGGACAAAAAGTATAGCATCTATGCTAGCATGCAGAGAACAGAGGCTCTCAAATT